GAAAGAAAGAAAGAAAGAAAGAAAGAAAGAAAGAAAGAAAGAAAGAAAGAAAGAAAGAAAGAAAGAAAGAAAGAAAGAAAGAAAGAAAGAAAGAAATTAACCAAGCTCCAACATTCACTTATCTTTCTTTGTTCCTTGAAATCAAGGACGGATAGATAAATTCCATTATCAGTGCAAAGACATCATTCCTCCTCAAGATCTCCAGAGCAAGTTGAAAAACAAGACATCGATGGAAGATAAAAAGGCATCAGTCATATAAGGTCTAAATTTTGCTGGAAATATTTCAGATTCTCCCTGAGTATGGTTAGAAACCACTGATTTCCTACATATTTCAATTTTTAGTTTATTGAGACCAACAGACAGAAAAACTGATTAGATGGCTCATCATCAAACAATGCCAGGAACGATTTCATTGCAGACAACAGCATGGTTTAGGGTAATAATGAAACAAGCAAGATCATGTATAGCTCACATTTCTCAAAAATCTCTAAGGAAATTTTCTATCAAGAAAGAGAAAAGAGCAATGAGAGTATGAAATAAATAAGTCAAGAAATCAGCAGAGTGCATGGGGAGAAAAAATAGCAAAAGTGGGGGTCCTGCCTTCCACACCCTGTAAGGATTTCTGGTGAGGAGACTAGTTCTCAGAAGACTACAAAAACTTCAGTGTCAAAGGTGACCATGCAGAATAAATTTATGGGGGGAAAACATAAACCACCGCCGAGAATATCTAAAACAGCATCAGGGAAAAAGCTGTGTGGTGTTCCTACAAGGATGGGTCAGAGTTTTCCATATAGAAAAACTTCAGGCTGCAAAGAATGTAGTGCCAGTTGGAAAAAAGTCAAGGTAAGAACATGTTAAATGAATGAAGTGGAGGAAAGCCAGATGCAAAGATTCAGGAAGAGCACAAGTTGTGCCAGACAGAGGGGAGGAGTAGCAGAGGAAAATATGGGAGGGATCCATCTACTACTTGAAAGAATTTCTCCCTTCCAGTGAAAATCACTGAGTATACGATGAGAGAGACCAAGAGAGCAATGCCATAATGACTAAGCACATGTTGCCTTGTGAAAACAGCCAAATGATGCCAAGTGCCTTCTTGAATATGATTGAACTTATAAAGCATCATTATAACAAATTTGGGAAAAGTTCAAAAATGGTATGGAAATATGGTGAGTCACTTACCTAAACAGAAATAGGAGAGAACCAGAGGGTGAAAAGGTATGTATGTGCTTACTGTTGTCACTGTTTTAAGGACTGGCTATACTGATTTCCATACAGGGTAGCAGAGATCTCACTGACCTACTTATATCCTATATGTATTCTCCAATATAGTGGTTTTCTGGTTTGAGAATTTTGTATGACTCATGCTATTAGCAAGTGAATACCTACAAGCAAGGGTTTGTTCATTTTTTTTTTTCTTCTTTATTTCCCAGGACCTGACATAGAATCAGAGTCCAAAAAATAACTGGTGAGGAATAATGAAGAATGTAATATAAATAATCTAGATTTGAACCCAGATATCTTGTGGTTTTTATTTCAAATCCTGCATTTCCCCTCCATATTTCTATCCTCCTATATTGCCTCTCCCACTATGCTATACTGGTTTTTAAATAATAAAATGCTAAGTCTCATTCACTGTGAGTGAAATGGGAAGTGAAAGCAGTGGGCATTTCTCAGGATGTAAAATAAATATACACATATTTTATTCAAACAATCCCACAAAATTAAAAGGGATTATTTCTACATAAAAGTCCAAATAGAGCTTAAGGAAGACACACACTGTAAGTGCTCAATAAACACTTGCTAAGTATAAAACTTTAAAATGATTATAATAAAAATTATACTTGCATGATAATGCAGTCTTCTCATTACAGAATTAAACTTCTGAATTTTAGAAGAAATAATAAATTTAATTCTTAACAAATGGTGAAGTGAAAAACTGAAAACAAATATTGAGAAGATTTTAGTCCTTTAAAGGTCCATAAACTTACCTTATAAGTTTTCAACGGAGACTCTAAAATCTGTGATGATCGCCAGCTTAGCAAGGAATTAAGTCACAGACCATGTAATATTCTTGTGACTTCCATTATAGAGAATGAGAAACTACTTATATTGTGCAAGAAAATTTACCCAGTTCTAATCAATAATGCAAAGTAGAGAACAAATGAGTGAGTGAAACCAGTAGGTGGGCTACCGATCTTCAAAAAACTATCAACATAAATACTACAAAATAATTGTCAACAATTAGAAAACACTGAACTCTAGTAGTATTCTATCAGAAATGCATTTGACTACATGTGAAATATTCTGTTTTTTTTCCAGACCTCTGACATTGTGTTAAAAAAAAAAAGTTTATGGGGAAATTTTTTTGCAAAGTGACTTGACAACACTGCTAAAAAATCTTCTAAACAGTTTCTTCTATACACAGCACAAGTGTAACCTTAAGGATTCCATTTATCCAAGCCACAGCCTAACTCAGTAGTAAATGATGGCATTAAACCTAGGTAGGCGATGCCTATATTGATTAAGGTATTTTCCCATTTTCTTAACAATTAGCAACACTAAGTAGAAATCAATTGTAATTGGAGAAGAGAGTGAGTGCTAAACTAACTACCAGCGTCAGCTGATATATATGTATATGACCACTGCTATTTAATCTAAAAATTCCATGTTGTAATTTACATATATGTACCTAATCAGTTAAAGTTGGAAGACAGTCTATTTTCTCAGTTCCATGAATCTACCCACTGCAAATGTGTTTTCACAAAAACACACTTTAAAAGGCTTCCTTAAATAACATTTCTTTAAAGGTCTAGTTTTTTTGTGTGACAGTTGGGTTTTGTTTATATATATATGTAAGTACATAAACACATACGTATATACTTGTGTTACTGCATTTAACACTAATTGTATGTAGTACAATTTAAAAACTAATTACCTAAATAAGAGATTTGAATTGAGCTAGTTCTAATGATAGCAATTTAGTAAGTCTTGGTTAATGAGAAGGGAGGAAATTCCAGTAATAACTGCTTATACTTTGAAAAAGCACGTATAGTGTTATCTCTGGCCAAGTTAGTAGAATTTGTTTAACTGTTATTCTAAGAGCCTCCAATTTTTTAGGAGTTTATCTGAGAGAGTTAATGTGATGACTTGAGGTGCCTAATCTTCATGAATCTAAGACTTTTTGACCCATTATATAAAAATATATTAAAAATGCATGCTGGTTCATTACAGAGAAAACATGCAATTAACAGTATACTGGATCTATGTGTCCAAAAAGCACCATTCTAATTGTGCTCAATGAACATGAAAGTTACCATCTGAACCTTTTTCTTGTGTGTCCAACACAGTAATTCTGGTTATATGGATTACTGTAAAGTAGACTTAAGAAACTAGTCAACTTACAAAAATAACATTTCTTATCCTAGGGACAACACTTCCCTTTCCTTTTCCTTTCTTCCCCTAAAACCTCATTAAGGTTTTGAAAGACAATGAAGGTCTTGAAGTCTATAAAATGGAATCATAAATTCTTCTTTTCCTACAATCGTACTATACAAAAAAAAAAACAAAAAACAATTGAATGCTATTAACAGAGTTCATTCCAGTCACCATCAAGTTAAACTTCAATGTGTGAAACCATATATCTGTCTGTTACACTGTCTTTCAGTTTTTGTAAATCACATTTGTTCAGAAACCTGCCAATTCTCAAAGGAAATCTGGCTCATTACTGTAAATTACGGAGACAGATCATGGGTCTGCAATTTTTTCCTTGTGAAGGATCTGTTAATAAATAGTTAGGCTTTCTGTGCCACGTGGGTTTTGCTGCAAATACTCAAGTATGTAAGCTTGGCACAAAAACAGCTGTGGACAACATGCCAACAGAGGAGTAGAAAATGGAACAATGATTTTTGTGTTTTTTTTTTAAGACTCAATTCCATGCTGACTGACCTACTGGCAGTCGGCACATCAGCATAAATAACGGCATGACCGCAGTACTTATCATCAGAGGGGACATCGGAAAATCAGACTTGCCTTAGTAATGGATGGAATATGACCGTAATATTTCTGGCTCCAGGTTTGCAGACAAATTTTGTCCCTCCACCTTCAATTAAGTTGTCATCAGGACCCCCTATTAGGAAAAGAAAAGAAAATGAGATATAACATATTAGAACTTTTTACAAAGAAATAAACCAAGGGTAACGTAGACTTGTACTGTCAAAAAGACCGTATTTAAAAACAATTGCCTTGGAAATCCACAGAATTAATTTAAATGACATGATCCAGTCTTCCTTGTTAGATAAATCAAGAATTAGTATTTTCACTCTGAGAGAGAACATGGAAGTGCAGTGGAATAAACACTTCATTTAAAACAGTACATCGGTGTACTGCAAAGAGGGAATGAAATTTTGACCTCTCACCACTGCATTTCCCTGGAATAACATTACACTTGGCACTTTCAGGCAAAGATGGAATGCCACTAGAGTTCGCAGTGGACTTTAAAAATAGCAACAGAGGGCCCTCCCTGGTGGTGCAGGGGGTTAAAGCACAGCACTAAGAAGTTAAAGTCACTTCCACAGGAGTTCTACCCCCTCCAGCCCCGGAGGTGATCCACATGGCTCAGCAGACCTCTCCTGACACGCCTACTGCTCCCCTCATCAGTGTACTTCATTGATCTGCCTATTCTGCTCCCCACTGTCTCTGGTGAATCTTCTCTTCGCCCCGGTGCCTCTGGCCTGTACCCAGTTCTGTATGCATAAATAAATAAATCTTAAAAAAAGAAAAAAAAGTAGCAACAGAGGTCCATATAAACCTAACCATATTTCATCTTAATCCTTAAAAGCAAGTCTGGCTCATTGAACTACACAATGCTTTCTTATTACCTAGACTAGATCACTCTTCCTGAAAAGCCCTTTATATTTCAAACATATAGATCTAGGTTATATAATTTAGAAGTACATTTTAAAGTTTTATGTAAGGCTTTTAAAATAGATGTTTGCCATAAACAATCTCTCATACATATTTAAGAAGGAACTACAAGAATAATAAATCAATTGAGGTATTCTGAAAACTATGTAATATTCAGAGACCTCTTCTGAATAATTGAGTTGTCAAACTCCTTTTCTAAATGGTATCACCAAGTGAATTTCTTAAAGGAATCCATTCCCATGTTTATTGCTGTTCTATTTATAATAGGGAAGACCTGAAATCAACCCACAGGCCCAAAAATAGATGACCAGATTAAATAGATGTGGTACATACACTCAATAGAATACTACTCAGCAATCAAAAAAGATAAATGCATGCCTTTTGCAGCAACATGGATGGAGCTAAAAGAGACCATGCTTAGTGAAATAAGCCAGAAAGAAAAAGAAAACTACCAGATGGTTTAACTCACAGGAAGAGCATAAGGAATCAGGAAAAAAAAATAGCAATTGCAATAAAGTAAAAATGAAAAACAATGAACAACTATATACCAGAAGTGGAGGGACAATCAGGATCAAAATTTCAGTAGAAAGAGTGCACGAGACTAATGATGGCACACAGGTGAACTGGTGGTGGGAAGTCCATGGCGATTACAACTGAGATGAAAAAAATGCACAAAATGAAGAGTGATGTAAAAAATAAATTAAAAAAGTAACAAGGTATGATTACAAATAAAAACAGAAAAAAAGTATCTTCTTTAGCAATACTTAACTCTTTGAGACTATAAAGTCAAGTCAGAAGTGAGTCATCTAGGAAAGTGTGTGTGTGTGTGTGTGTGTGTGTGTGTGTAGAAGAAACTAAGTTTTATTTTGCACTCCAAAAAATAATATATATAGCCATGAAGAATACATTAGTTTTTTTCCAAAAAGAGACTTTTTTTTTTAAAGATTTATTTTATTTATGCATGCAGAACTGGGGTGCAGGCCAGAGGTGTAGGTACAGTGAGAGGATTCACCAGACATAGAGTGGGGAGCAGAACAGGCAGATCAACAAAGTATACTGCTGAGGGGAGCAGTGGGTGTGGCAGGAGAGGTCTGCTGTACCATATGGGTCACCTCTGGGGTGGGGATCAAACTCATGCTAAAGTGGCTGTAGCTTCTTAGTGCTGTGTTTTAATCCACTGTGCCACCAGGGAGGGCCCCAAAAAGAGCCTATCTTTTAAGGATAACTATGAGTTGGACAATATTATCTCCAATGGTTTCTAAAAACTTCGATGTTCTAAGGTAACAGGTAGTCAGTAATGAAACACTGGATCAGTTCTGGACAGACTAATACCTTACTGCACATTGAGTATGTTGTATGTATACCTGCCAGGGTGCCTGGGCAAACCTATATCAGGTTTCCATTTGGAGTGGGCTCTCCCCTCCTACTACTCTAAAGGCCCAGAGAATAGCCCTAAACTATTCTCACTGTTCACGATCATTTTAACAGTAACTTACTGTAACTTAACACAGAGCCCTAGCATAGCTGTATTACTAGGTTGTTTTCTAATGCCTGTGTAACATTTTCCTACATAAAGTATATCTTCCTGGAAAATAGTTATAAAAATATACATTTGGTGACTGAATGAAGAAATCAAGATCTATTTTAGTAGAATGCCAATAGAAGTAGATGAGAAAGTATGTGTAAACTGTCAAAAACTTAACAAATGTGAGCAATTCTCTCTGTATCCCCAATGCCTTGGAACTAGGAGATACATTTTGCAAATATACATTCATTAACAATCACACAAGGAACATACAATGTCAAAAATAAGGTATAGAAGCTGTTAGAAATGTCAGTGAGAGGACAACTTGCTGCAAAAGTCAAAAAGGCAGAATACTGGGCCCTCCCTGGTGGCACAGCGGGTTAAAGCACAGCACTAAGAAGCTAAAGCCACTTCCGCATGAGTTCGATTCCCACCTGCCCCGGTGATGACCACATGGCGCGGCAGTCCTCTCCTGACCTGCCCTCTGCTCCTCTCAGCAGTGTACTTTGCAAATCTACCTGTTCTGCTCCCCACTCTGTCTCTGGTGGCTCCTCCTACCCTCCGCATCTCTGGCTTGTACCCCAGTTCTGTATGAATAATTTTTTTAAAAAAAGGCAGAATACAGACAGTGCATTGGGCTAGAGACTGAATAATAGTTTCATTTGTTCTAAGTCCCTGCTCACCAGAGAAAGAGACAATTACCGATTCACACGGTAGTGTTAAACTGAAAGAAAAGTAAGGTTTAGGCAGAGATTGCCTTCCCTACGTCAACCCCCAGCTACAATTCCACCTACAGGACTCTTGTACATTCTTCAATGCTGTTGCCAAGTGCATTTCATGGGATTTTCTTCCTATAGACTACAAGTTCAAGTCTAACTTACTCAATTACCAATTAACGACTCCAACGTGGTGACAACATTCTGAAACAAAGCTTTTAGACCAAAAGCAAGAACCAGAGCAGAAGCAGTACCCAGGCCAATGGCAATCACGTTTGAGACTCTATCCTGTGAGATTTAGTTGACCATTTCAATTTTCTGGGTGAGAAAGAAAGCACGCCTCTCTTCACATGCCTTGCCATAATCATGTAACATGGAGCTGAGGTCATGAACATTCTTAAGGGACAGGCTGTTCACTCCTGAGAATAGCTTCTCGGCACCTTCCTCTGCCCTCACTCATCATACTTCCTGTCTAACGGTGACTGTCTGGGGCCAAGTGATAGGGAAATGAGGGAAAATGTTGATGTGTTGGATGGACGGACAGGAGGGTGAACTCACAACAGTGTTACTCTTGTGAATATATATTATGCAGGAAAGACGGGAGCAAATGTCTAAATATATTTCCTGCATTTACCAATGTGGAAAATGGTTTGACAGCCTCTGTTCAGGTGAGTGAAGGTCATGAGGTACCAGAGCCACCCAATGGCTCCTGGATGACAGCATCTTAGTGCTCAGAGGCTAGTCCCTTCTTCTGGAATTCAGTTACTTACAAGTACATCAGCTCCAACATTTATTATTCCCTGATTCTGCCCAACTAAATCTGACGTATTGTGTAATGAATATACAGTCATCTTCATGAGCCAGAAACAGACAACCAAATTCTGATAGGACTCTGGTACAGAGAGAGAATCAAAAAGCTGTGTGACAGAACTGACTGGGATGAACAGCAGGAGAAAGAGAGATGCCAGGCGTTGTCACTCTATGTGGAGATAGAGAAAAAAGCAGCAGCAACAACAACAACAGGTCAAACCAAAGAAACAAACCCTCAAAATGAGACTGTACAACTACAGAAGGAGAGGAGGTGGTACAGAGCAAAGTGGGACTGGTGCACACTGGACTGTGGAGTCCTGTGGGTATTCTGACAGTGGGTATGCTGTGGCAATACCACCTAAATGGGGTGGTCCCGAACCTCTAAATAATATCCAGTCTTATAAACCCTTGCTACTGCAAAAAGAATTTTTTAAGTGTGTCAGACCCCAGCTCTGCTACATATTAGTATAAGTGTGATAAAAAAAAAAAACAAATTTCCTGAGCCTCAGCTTTCCATGTATAAAGCACCAACTGCAATAATCATTTCTGAAGATTTGTTTTGATGGTTAAGTGAGGTAACATATTTCAGGGCACTCGGTGTGTGACGGCTAACATGGTGCAGATGAATGGTCTGCTACTTTTCCCCGTAGAATGACCAAGCAGTTAAGGGTCGAACTTAATACATATTACTGGAACACAAACCAAAAAAACACAACATCCACATTCAAATGGGCTTTGCATTTTGCTTTAGGCAACTCTGTACTAGTCAATATCAGAGGCCAATTAAAACATGCTGGCCTTGTTTTGAGAGCATTATTATGGTGATGAAAGGTTTAGAACACCGCTAACACTTTCAACATGATGCTAGTCTTGCTGCATTCCTACTTTTTAAATTAAAAATAATAAATCTGAAATGCATAGATGTTAAAATTGCCAATGCTTTGGGCCAAGTACAAGAGAAAAACAACACTGAATTTGAAGGTCACCCTGTCAAGCCACCATGGCAGCAGGCCCAGCTACTTTTCAAATGTGTTCTGGGTTTAAAATTGGCCTTTATAACACAGAAAAACACAATGAAGGTGCATCTTTTCACAGCAAGCATTTTGCTTCGTAAGTACATTCCAAAGATTACAAAACTGCATAAGTTCCAGT